ATGTAGTTTTATAATTATTAACACTACGACGAAAATGGTTTTTATATTTCAGTTTATATATTTTAAAAATAAAATTCATCAAATTACCAAAAATTAATTCTGTGTGTTTATATTGTTTTTGTTTAAAGGGATCTAGGACAATTTTCTTAAATTTCTTTTAAAAGATAAGCATGACTTTAATTTTTTTTATTTTCTTTTTTTATTTTTTTTATAATTTTTTTTTCAAAATAAGAAAAGTTTTTGAAATTGATTTTTGCTGTGATTTTTTTAAAATTTTTGGTTCATTGCCTCAAATACCCATACTTTTATTTGTTACCAGTTATTGTTATTTTTGTTATAACTTCTTAATTTAACTTCTTAGTTTATTTAAAACACTTCTCTTAAAGACATGGAATGATATGATATATGATAAATTATGATTAATTGTAAGATATCAATAGACAAATAATTTTTAATACTTAATAACTTTTTGTTAGAAAGAAATTTTGAATTAGAAAAAATAATAAATGGGTGTTAAATAATTCGTTTTTCTGTTATATATAAGTTAACGAATGATTTATTCTATTCTATAGTTATTCCTGTTTCAAATTTTAGTGTAATCTTTTCAATTTATGGTTAAGCTAGAAAAAACATTATAATTTAACCACATATATCTAAAAAATGACAATTACTTACCGTTAGACTAATGATTTTATCAAAGAACATCATTGGAGCCATATGGAAATCAAACACAAAATACTGTAATGAAAAAGTAATTTTTATAAATATTTTACCAAGTATTACCAAGCTTTGAAAAAAGCGTTATCATGTTAAATTAATAATCAAAATTAAAAATTAAATTTTGTTTTTAAGTATATTATTATATAAAATAAACAAATAACTTTAAGTAAGTAGTAAATTTTAAATCCAATTTTTCGATGAATTGTAGTTTTACTAGCCCTCGTAGCAGCGATGTTAGTAAGGAATAAACAAACACAAAAAAATAAAATTCCAGATAAGTTTAATATAATAATATGTATAAACATACAAAAATATATCAGATGAAATTGATTGAGTTTTAGACTTTCAACATTCTAAACAAAAGTTGTAATAAGCATGGCTTTTAAAAGCGGACAAGGGTTTTAGATATCTAATATTGGGATAAAATATGTTTTAAAAATGCTTCGTTTTATTGAGTATCAAATGTTTCTAAAACTGAATAAAGTCTCAATAAAACTGATTGCTTCCAACCAAAAGTTTTGAGCCATTCGTTCAATTTAGATTTAAAGTATTTTAAAAAGCGAACTTTTACATTTCGTTTACTTAACTGACCTATAAAAGCCATAACACTTGGAAACTAATTCAAATTTTTGTGAAAATATTATTCAATTTTAAGGAAATTCAATCTAGATTTGTTTTATGTTATTCATGACCTTTTGGAATTCGAGGGCGTGTAAATTTAATAGGATAGTAAAAAATCTCGTCTCGTTTAACTATCACGTTAAAGTACAGTAGATAATTTTCGGCCTGCGCAAACGTTCACTATTTAAAAAAAATATTATTTAATTCAACATTTTTAAACTATGAAACAATATTTCTTTACCTCATTGTAATAAGGGCAATTCGTTGATTCTTTAACGCTAGTATATTTTTTCTGTTCACCAACTTGAACGCATACAACAGGATCCATGTTAAGCCCGGCCAAATGTCTCGCTTCAATTATTGTTACGCAAACCTAAAACATAAAAAATAATTTTTTTTGCAAGCTTCTGAATAATTGAGAATATTAGAAGGATATATAAAAATGATTTTTTTAAGATATTTGACAAAATGAGCTTTAGAATCTATAAGGAGTTCAAGAAAAATGTTTGGTATATACGCTGCAACCAAACAACACAAAATTTTGCATACCAGAGTCGGCATAGCCTGGTTGGTAGGACGTTGAACTCTTGTTCCTGAGAACGTGAGTTCGAATCCCGCAAGCAGAAAAATACTTTTACAAATAAATAATGAAGTATACATGTTAAATCTGTCTGGGTCACAAATTTTTCTTATTTCCCACAACAAAGCAATACCTTTCTCTGGTTCAGATCAAAATTATGATCTATGGATGAATGAATGGAGTATGATTAGGTCCTCCATGTAAAACAATGTGTGACTAAAGTCATATTCTTGGCCATTGATGACGCAATTTAAAAAACAAAAAAATGCATACTTTATTGCTTGATTTTAAGCACAATTGCTGGTATCGGCATGTAGCATAAGTAACAACAACAACAACAAACTTTACAGCCAAACAATCCGAAAGTATCCGTAAGTTTTCACAATAGCACTTAATGTTCTTTTAATAAGCTCTTACATTCATTTTTCTTCTTCGCTCATATAAGTTGATTAAACATTTAACGATACAAATAAATTTCAATTTTTTTGCAGAAAATATTTTTCAAGATCTAAATTAAAAATAAATAGATATTGATGTTTTGATAAACGCTAGAACCCTTTAAAATTTATACAAACATAATTTATTCATTTTTGCTAAAAGCAAACGGGGGAAGATGTCGTAATTTAAATCATCTTTTAAAATATACAAATTGAGGCAAAAAGCAATTATGGCTTGAACTTAAAACAAAGAGTTTTCATGATTACATTAAAAAACAAGTATTGGAAGATGAAATAAGAAAACACAGTGCTTAATCTAGTTTTTATTTTGAAATAAAAATTACCTGAAAGTCTTGAGCTTTTAATTTTGCTGGAGATTCTTGATCAGATTTCCGCCTAAAAAAAGAAGAGAAAAAACGATTTTTATATAAAAAAAAAATTAAATATAGATGAAGGGAAACTTTTTATACATAAATGAATTCAATCTACTTTTGTTTTTACAAAACTATTTGTTCCAATATATTCTATAGTAAATTATAACAGCTTTAATTTCCTTGAGCAATTTTAATAATAATGCTTAGCTCATTTTTTTAAACGTTTTATTTTGCTCTGAGCTTTAAATTAAACCCAGATTTTGATTGATTTTACCATTATTAAAAGCATTCTTACCATTATTAAAAGCATTACAAGCATTTCTTAGCTTTTCCCCCTAGAATATAAATTTTTATTTTCTTGAAACCATCACAACTCAACTAAAAAATCTGAAGAATTCGTTGAGTTTTTAATACCACTTTAATAAATTCGCTGAGTTTTTAATACCACTTAAGTATCAAATCAAGCTTGATCCAAAAGGTATTCTTAATATACTGAAAAAGTTAAGATTTAGAATGATTTTATTTGATTTAAAAGAAAACATCGTAATCAAATTTAGATTCTGCGTGCGAGTTGTGTGATTTTTTAAAAACAATCCATGATGATGTTGAAACTGTTAACTATGAGAACGCTTAATGGTTTATAATAAAATAGTTATACAAAAACAGTTTATAATAAAAAGGTTATATAATAAAAAAAATTTAAAAATGTTCTAACTGTAAACTTTATGATTAATTGGATGCATAAATTGCTGTCGATTTTTTTACAGTAAAATCAGAGTGAAAATTCTAACAGTGTAGATAGAGATTGAGGCAGCTGGTGTACGCATATTTTGATATATGGGAACAAACATAAAATTCCCCGATGAAGTGCTAATTAATACTATCATTTGACGAGGCTAAATTGCTACTTAAACATTTGTCTGACTAAAACAATAAGGAAAAAAGTTTACTTTTAACTAAATGACTACAAGAAGAAAAATTGCATTAATTTCTAAATTTGTAATACTTATTGATTTTATGAATTTTGTGCATCGGACCAAAATGTGTACTTTTGTTTTGACTTATCTGAGAACTTTCGTAAGTGTACATTTTCGCCACATACCATACTCCTTTTTCTAATAGTATAAAACTGGAATATTAGCGACTTTTAGAAATAAATTTATATCTGTCTGTAAAGTAGATGAGTTTAATTTCTACAACTTCACATTCCATTCAAGATAAATATAACTACCATTATTTAGCAAGACTCAATAATTGTTTTTATTTTAATTTTATTATGCTTTAAGACATTGTTAATAATGATCATTTATTCACCACCACCCCATATAAAGATAGGTAGGTATTGTACTTTATTTACACATGCACTAGAGCTGCAAATTGGGCCATTGGCGACGGACTGGGGAAACATCCCAGAGGATGATCCGAAGACACGTCATAGCAATTTTGATCCTCTGCAGAGGGAATGACTCCCCTGCTTTAGTAGCCTGACGACCTGCACGAAGTTGAACACTTTACGGTGGAACAGTTTAACGAGGACCGACACCATGCACTCTCGGTCCCTACGCAGGCTGATCAAAGTGGTCACCCACCCGCTTACAGACCACCCCAGTTATGCTTGACTTCGGGACTTTACTGGGCCAGTAAACTGCGGTACCAAATATAAAGGAGACATATGTCTGTAAGGTCGGGCAAGTACACTAGAGATTTATATTTCAGTTTTAATTCTGAAACTTATAGAATAAATTTCAATTTTCAATACATTAGTACAGTTAAATGAATAGAAAAATAACTTAACCATGAATTTTTTAAAAAAAATGTTGCTTGCTCCTTTGTTCTTCGAAAATTAAATTATGAAAATAAACAAAAATTTTCAATGACTTGCCAATTGTTTGAATGATGCTTTGTCTACAATCATAACATTATAAATAATGCTGGTTCTAAAGGGTGGTTCAAGAGACTTATCCGGGAGTTTTTGGGTTAAATACTTAAGTATGAGCGAAGATATTCTTTAAAGTATAATTATATCTTCATATTTTTGAAATCATAAAAGCTTAATTTCACTATTTAGATTTGAAAACATTCAATTTAAAATTCGTTTCATATTCTTGGCCTAAACGTTTAGCCAGAAGTGCGTTATTTTGGTCATTAACGTTAATTTCTTTTTCGTAGCGCTTCTTAAATATTTTTGAAAATGCGAAATTATTCTCCGGTCTATGTAAATATGCTTCCATTTAATCTTCCTTATGAATAAGAGTGCATAAAAAGGGGGCAATGTTTTACCTCTTTTTTGGAAAAACAGGGGGATGTGGAGTGAGAAAAACATAAATATTTTGAGCACCACGCAATGCTGTCATTATTAATCATACTTCTAAAATGAAACGCTAAGCGATATTTGAAAATAATTGCTAGTGACACTTTCTCTAAAATGCGCTCCTCACCAGAAGCTTTTTTCTCACAAACCCTTATGGAAGAATTTCGAAGAACAAATATTTCATCCCATTGTGTTAGGAATTTCGATACCTTGTAAAAACTGTGGTGTAATATTTCTCCGGCTATGATGTTGATCAACTGAGTAAAGGAACACTTTAGCTCGTATTCAGAACAAAACTAGAGTTTATAAACGATTTAAATCTAAACACTTTCAATTGAATATAAACTGCTGTTTGTAGAAAAT